TTTGTAGATTAGTTTTAATTATGCGTGTCCCCAATCCGTATTTAAAAAAAAAACTTTCCTACGTTCAAACGAAGCACTTGTGTTTGCAGACTTTGATTCCAGTTTTTGCGCACAGTTGTTCCCGTTTGTCAGCTCACACTGGTTCGCAAACATCCAGCTCATGAATATTCAGATTCTAACATTTAAAAGACTTTAATCTAAACGCTTGTTTTTCACGGGTAAATAAAAAAACAGGAATCACTTTTCCCCCGGCGCTCAAGTCGGGCTTTGCGTTGGAATGGGGGCGAGTATTTCGCGCTATCGGACGATCTGTAGTGGTTTCCGGTTTGTTCGTAGTGGGGTGGATGGGAATGAGGAAAAACTGGAATACTAAATATCTCATGAAAAACGGGAGGGTGGGGAAGGGGGGGGGGTGCGTTTTGCAGCGAATGGTAACTTCCGGGGTGTTTTTATTCGTGGCAGTAACGTTATGGTGGAATCGATGGAGGGTGGGGGGTGGTGAGGAGCGATAATTCATTGTCGATTCTCAGGTTGAGGGGTGGGAGGGTTGGAAGAGGGACGATAATTCATTGTTGATTATCAGTTAGGATTGGGGGAAGGTAAGAAAAGAGAGGGATAATTCACTGCAGATTTTTAGGATGGGTTAGGAAAAAATAAGAGAAGAGAAGAGGGGGGGGGGATAATCCATTGTAGGTTGTCAGGTAGGGGTGGGTGGAGAGAGAAGAGGGGTGATAATCTATTGCAGATTTGCAGCATGGCAAATCCTAAGAAATTAGGTAGCTAATCCGGGATTAAAGTGGGGATAACTTTGTTTTACAGACTTCATTAGAGCTTACTTAGTCTAGTAGTTGTCTCCCGTCCGGTTTAGAGATAATTTGATCATACACGAAAGCGGGCTTTGATACGTCAAACTTTAAACACTAATCCTAGTTAACTGTGGTGATTAACGATAGATCCGATAACATACGGATTATCCATATGTTAAATTTAAGAATGTTGTCAGCAATATCTTAAATAATTAGTGAATCCTCATTCAATATTAACTGTTAAACTACAATTAACAATAAGTTTTAGCTTGAATAGTTTAAATATTGAGGTAATTGTAAAAAATGATTTCTTGCTCGAGTAAAATGAAAACATTTTTAGATCCCGATTATCGGGAGAACATGTAGTCCATGTCTTGCACTTAACTCTTTACTTGAAGTCTGTGCTAAAAGCGAAACCGTGTACACCCGGAGAATCTTCGCTACCCTCTGAACAAGTCACGTGATGTTCGCGTTCACAGCAGTCTCTACACGTCGCGTTGGTAATTAAGGCTGATTGGTGTTTAATCATCACTGATGTCGTTAGCCGGACATGATGACACTGACAACACTGTCTAGTTGGTATGTGTTGCAGTGACGTGTCATCTCCCGTGTCTGTGTGTGCCATACTGACACTTGCGTCACTGACCCCGGTACGTCATAACATAGTAACGTCACGGGTACATCCCTACCAAAAACTCTATGGCCATAAAAATAAACCTTTAACCTTTAGCCTTTGCGGGTCGTTGGGGCACCACATATATGTGTAGTGTGTCTATGGCTATGTGTCGTATGGCTGCGCCCACCCCTCTCCATGCCTGACCACAGCCAGAAGCCTACATCTAGGTGGCCTTGACCGTTGAAGCTCATATAGGAACTCTTGCGCCCTGGCCGGTGACCTTTACTGATGTTGGAGTTTTCTCTCCTAGATGGTTTGCTGGCCCCAGCTATAGAACCTCTGTACTTTTCGGGTTTTAGCAGCCGTGAGCATTACAGACCCGATCTCGACGACCCCCACTCTCCCATTGTCTTAGAGCACTTTAATTACGAATTATTCTTAGTGCGTCTCCTTGCAAATATTCGAAATAAATTTCACTTTTAATAAACCGGGAGTGATCTCCCCTAAACTTTCTCGAATATTCTTATATAAAACAACAGGGGATGGGAACTCGGGCTATTGACATGATTTTTAATCCATTTTAAATACTTAAAGTTTTAAAAATAGATTAAAATCTCGTAGACAAAATAATTGCACGCCAAGTGAACTAGTGAACGCCAAATAAAAAAGTGTACAATAGCGCGCAATATTATTAGTACTTTAAAAATTTACATTAGTTTTTTGAGAAATCGGAAGTAGCGTAAATTACTACTTCCGGTCAACGGAAATTACTCAAAATTTAACAGAAGGTAGAGAATTAGATCTTTTACTTACATGTGAAATTTCATTTATCTATCTGAAATAGTACTCAAGTTATAGGCTTTTGAAAAATTCAAAGTAGGAAAAGTACCACTTCCGGTTATCGGAAATCGCTCAAAAGTTGATACGGATCTACGATTTTGATAAAATACTTATATATGAAATTTCATCAACCTAGCTATAACGGTACTCAAGTAATCGTGTTTACACACGGACACACACACAGACACACAGACATACGGACAGAATTGCAAAGCCCAGTTTTTCAGACTGGATTACGCATAAAACCTCTTAATTTTGATAAATCTGGATTGATAATTTTTGCCCGATTAAAATAAGTCCTCTATACTTCGGATGTGATGAAGGACTGAGGTGTAATACGGTGAAAATTGTTAAAATTTCAAGTGATTTTTGTGCACGATTACAATACTTTCTCTATACTTCGTATTTACGAGAAAGTAAAAAAGTCCAATGAAGACCTACACATACTAATTTGATGATTTGATTGTTATTACGACACATAGTATCAGACGTAATTAACCACCCTCCTTACGTCACACACTGACATATACGATCAATACGTCATTCTGACGTCATTAACCAACTTCCTCAACCCTCCGTCCCTACTACCCCCCCCCCCTCCCCCAGCACTAAAACACCTTTCACACACCTTTACCCGACACCCCCGACACCCCCCACACGCTTCTAAGATCGTCAGAAATCCATTCCCGGAGACTCCACTGACTACGTACTTGTGGCGGGACCCAGGACAATGAATGGATGCTATCTCGTAAGTTCCCCCGCCTGTGGCTAATTTTGTCGGTGACGGTATGGGCGAGAGAGAAAACAGTATCCTATTGATTGACAGCGGTCAGCACTTTGATCAAACGGCCTTTCAGACAGGGGTGGGGTATGAGTAGGATCGGGGGGGGGGGGGCTTAACTTCCTTATCCAGGAGGTCAAGTTAGTGAATTCGGTTAGATTTTGTCGAGCACACTTTAAATATATTTTTTAAAATATTGATCTTGAACGATTGAATATTTTAGATACATTTAAAGCTAATTAAAGAAAAATTAATATATTTTATGCCTATTAATCAATTGTTTTTAGTTGCAACGTTTTTTTAAATTCACATACACAATTATTTGTATGCAGTCATTTTTACACAAAAACTAAAGTTCCCATTCGAACCTGACGGTCCATGGGGCAAGTGAAGTAGAGTTCACTTGTTTCTGTGACCTCGGCATATGAAGAGATAGTGTGGTCAGCACTGTGCCCAGCCACCTTTACTTTCTCTAACGTGAGTTAGGTATCTACCAGAGCTGGGTGGACTTAGAGACGGTCTGTAAGTTGAACCTGGATTCGAACTTGAGACTTTCCAATTTAACATTCTAGCGCTCTACCGCTAGGCCACGCCATCCCCTATTTCAATACTACTCTCGTGTTTTTGTTTTTTATTTCGGTGTCTACAGACTTTTCAAAAACTCCAAATCAAAGGAACACGATTCCTCAAAAGTATAAACATTTTTTTTTAAATTGTACACAAACTAACGAATTTTAAAAAAATATGTGGACAAAATATATTTTTTTCTTCATAAGTTAGTACCTAGTAAAAATTCTAAACAAGGCATACAATAGTTACATTGTGTCTGGTCAGAAAGATCTTTTCATCATTGGGTATTAACGATTTTCATTGATCACGAATTATCTATAGATAACTCTGTATAGATCGTGTGGATTATCTCCCGTTTGTCCAAGGGATTCCCCAGCTGAAACTACACTGCTTAGTTGTATAGTACAGACAGATGTTTCGAACTTTACTGCTCCAGATTTGATAATCAAACAGAAAATAGTCGGACTTTGTACTTTTCTTAAACCTCACATTTAGATAGAAAATCATTACACCAAACAAGAACGGACGACTAAAAAAATGTAATCAACTTCTGAAAATAAATATTGAAAGGATTTCATGAAAAAGAAGGGATTATTATTTTAGTATTACTAGTGGTATTATTTTTCTGTTGGGAGAAGGAATAAGACATTTTTATTTTTCATTTTTATAAAGTTCTGAAAGACAGAAATACTGTAACAAGTATGTTCTGTTATGTAGAGAGCATATTTTAAAACTAGAACTCTAATAAAAGAAAGCAAGGTCTACATGGATGCCGGTAGGAGGAACTAGATTTAATGCTGTACTTATTTCATATTGTGATGTCTACTTAGTTCGATGTAATATAAATACTTTTATATTAATGCAGGCTTGAATATTTTAAAAAATAACAGACGTATTTTAATAATAAAAGTCGATAAATCAAAACAACAAAATTAACCCAAGCAGTAACGAAAAACAATAAAATTAACCCAAGTAGTAGGACGTAAACATCGAAAAACAACAAGCGCCGTGTCAAAATTTGAAATAATTTCATCCAAAAATTCTTCGACCAGACCATGGCTCAATGTGACATCTGAATTGATTCACTTAATGTATCAATTTTAGCTCACTCGGCAAAACAGTGCGTCAAATCGTCTGCTTCAAACTTTCTTCATAACTTAACGGACGGTGGTATTAATAGCAACTAGTCGCTGTCTATCTCCTTTTTCCATTTATATATATATATATATATATATATATATATATATATATATATATATATATATATATATATATATATATATATATATATATATATATATATGACATTTAATTCAATACATAAGACAATAAAACGAAAGAAAGGAAAGCAGTGTAAGTTTAGATTAGACGTTTCATTCTGACTTACCTTGAGCTAACATCCGCTTCTTGTTGGACTTCTTTACTCCTTATCTCATTATGTGTGACGTAATTGACCTTAGTATCGTCCAATAAATTCAGGTTTTACTTCAGGCCGTCCATTGATATAACGAGTGGTTCTATTGCTGGCCGGTCACTCAGACCACGAAGGGTGTACCGTTGGCCGTTCACTCCTACAACAAATGGTTGCACCACTGCCCGTCCACTGGTACCACAAATGGTTGTACTACTGGCCGTCCACTCAGGCAACCTGAATAGTAAACAACAAAATATGTAATCAAGCCGGAAGTTGAACATAAAAATATTGGAAGCTATGTAAACAAACTTGTTTTATAGAGCTACAGTACTCAAGGCTGTATGTGATCACCAATATAAAAAAGTTGTTATACAACCAACGGGTCAATTATGAACATCCATAGTACCTAGACTGTGTGCCCTTTGGTTTTGAATACAACTATCGACGGGCTCCTAGCTTGTATATTTCGTTGTAAATTACTCGTGATGAAAGGCATTGTGGCAAATTTTAAAATGAGAAACGATTCAAGTTTCAGCTACAAATACGTAAGACGGTGTAGTCGAATGGTAGAGCGTTTGACTGCTAACCCGAAGGAATCGAGTTCGGATCACGGGGTTGTGTGAGTGCTCTGATGTGTACCGGACTCACATTAGGGAAAATAAAGGCGGCTGGGTATAGTGCTGAAACAGGTGAACCATACTTCACCTGCACAAAGACAGTACATTACTACCGATAGGCATAACATTTCGTTGAAGGTAGAAATAGTCGGTGTATGAGGTAGCAACTCCCCCCCCCCCCCACCCCCACACCCCCCATACACACCTCCCACAGCGGCACTCTCATGGAATCCAAATGGCGTAAGGAAGAACCTAGGGACAATGGGAGATACTAGCCCAGAAAAGAGATGCCTGGAATGTTCTTGTCAACGGTCCTTGGAGGGACGACAAGCTAACCCAACCCCCTCCCCCAACATCACATTTAAGTATTGACCTTGATCTTGAACCTTGTTGATTTAAGTAAATTATTTCTCCTAACTTTTCTATCCATAGGAATAAATGTGTGTGGACGTTCTAAAAGCCATAACAACGGACATCCCCGCCTATGTATAGCTATAATATTAATGAAATCAATTTGCTGCACATTATTGCATCTGATGGCCCTGTTCCCATTTTTTGTGGAGCATGGGATGAAATTACCGGCAAACACGCAATGGCGGACCGGAAGTGTGAGCCAACCCACGTGACTTCCGGAATGTCGCCCAGATTTCAGTAAGGTTTTCTTGTGGGTAACAGTAAGGTTCTCTTGTGGGTAACAGTAAGGTTTTCTTGTGGGTAACAGTAAGGTTTTCTCGTGGGTAACAGTAAGGTTTTCTCGTGGGTAACAGTAAGGTTTTCTTGTGGGTAACAGTAAGGTTTTCTTGTGGGTAAAAGTAAGGTTTTCTTGTGGGTAACAGTAAGGTTTTCTTGTGGGTAACAGTAAGGTTTTCTTGTGGGTAACAGTAAGGTTTTCTTATGGGTAACAGTAAGATTTTTTTGTTGGTAACAGTAAGGTTTTCTTGTGGGTAACAGTAAGGTTTTCTTGTGGGTAACAGTAAGGTTTGCTTGTAGGTAACAGTAAGGTTTTCTTGTGGGTAACAGTAAGGTTTTCTTATGGGTAACAGTAAGATTTTTTTGTGGGTAACAGTAAGGTTTTCTTGTGGGTAACAGTAAGGTTTCCTTGTGAGTAACAGTAAGGTTTTCTTGTGGGTAACAGTAAGGTTTTCTTATGGGTAACAGTAAGGTTTTCTTATGGGTAACAGTAAGATTTTTTTGTGGGTAACAGTAAGGTTTTCTTGTGGGTAACAGTAAGGTTTTCTTGTGGGTAACAGTAAGGTTTGCTTGTAGGTAACAGTAAGGTTTTCTTGTGGGTAACAGTAAGGTTTTCTTATGGGTAACAGTAAGATTTTTTTGTGGGTAACAGTAAGGTTTTCTTGTGGGTAACAGTAAGGTTTTCTTGTGGGTAACAGTAAGGTTTTCTTGTGGGTAACAGTAAGGTTTTCTTGTGGGTAACAGTAAGGTTTTCTTGTGGGTAAAAAAATGCGAACAAGCCTATTCCTGTCATTACAAAAACAATTTTCTGATCTTAGAGTTTCTGTCGTATAGAGGAATAAGTTAATTTAGAGACTGATTGTTTATGTTAATTATATGCGAGTATGGTAAGGTTAAAGGTTAAATGACATGGTGGGAATATAAACATGAATTTATTAACCTTTCATGAGTTTATGAATATTATTAACATTGTTAATCTTAATAACAGTCTGGAATAATCACGTTTACACCTCGAACAATACGTTATTAGAACAAATCATTCTCTTGTTTGTATCAATATTTTGATGATGCAATGTGAAGGTGCTTTATGCGTTAAGAAAAACAAAACTAGTTCAGGGACACTTGTTTTAAATAAGATTGCAATTTTTAAAAATCTTTTATGATCCCTAATCTGATGTCTAATCGCTGTATTTAGAATATTCTGCATTGCAGATGTGTATTTTGTTGTTAAGAAAGCAATACGCTTAGAATGCCATTTGTTTTAATTATGCAAATTTTGAAACGTGATTAACTTCGCTGTTTTTAATGATTGTCTAGAACAGGCAAAGGATAGCTTAGTGTCTTTATTTACATGCAAGTCTGTGGGTTATGAGTCGTCTGCTTAGGTTCAACTACCAGCATCTGTATTGTGGACTGTCCCGAAAGGGGTGGAAGGATGACAGTAATGTCACAGACGATACCATTATTTAGAGGCCAGAATCGATACCCAGAACAGTGAGTACCGGATGTAAATGTCACAGTAAAGCTTGCAGATTACTGCTGGGGGTGGGGGGGGGGGGGGGGGGGCAGGGATGAGAAGGGTTTGCGTTTGTCTGTGTGTAAATGGCGGTGGGATGGTGATTGTCAAATGAAAATTACACTGAAGATATTATCAAGTAGAATAAATCAGACCTTTATTTTAATACTAGCAGCATATACCCGGCACTGTACAGGTTTCGGGAAATGTATACCGTTTTAGATTAATTGTCTTTGTGTAAATATGGACAGTATAGAAAATATACATAACACTAACTTAACCAAAACCTCAACTTAAACCACAAACATAATATTAAAAAAGCATGACTATAACTATTCCTATTATCATCCCTATCACTAACTATCCCTATCCCTATCACTAACATTATTCTTATACCTTATCTTGTCACTTTCTCTTATCCCTTATCCCTATCCATATCCTTAAGTTTATTGTTATAGCTATCGCTATCGCTATCCAAATCCCTATTTTAGTTTAATAACACTTACCACAATATTCACCTTTTATAAATCTAGATTTTAGATTATTATAGAACTATACAAACGTGAGCACTTGCCATCGCTACTTGTTAAACACAAACGTGAGCACTTGTCATCGTTACTTGTTAAACACAAACGTGAGCACTTGTCATCGTTACTTGTTAAACACAAACGTGAGCACTTGTCATCGTTACTTGTTAATCACAAACGTGAGCACTTGCCATCGCTACTTGTTAAACACAAACGTGAGCACTTGTCATCGTTACTTGTTAAACACAAACGTGAGCACTTGTCATCGTTACTTGTTAATCAAAAACGTGAGCACTTGTCATCGTTACTTGTTAATCAAAAACGTGAGCACTTGTCATCGCTACTTGTTAATCAAAAACGTGAGCACTTGTCCTCGTTACATATTAAACACAAACGTGAGCACTTGTCATCGCTACTTGTTAAACACAAACGTGAGCACTTGTCATCGTTACTTGTTAATCACAAACGTGAGCACTTGTCATTGCTACTTGCCCTCACAGTCTCCAGACAAACAAATAGTTACGTATGACCTATCAGGGACCAATCACCCTGTGTCTACAGCCTCATATTGATGCCCTCCCCCTAACGAGACAGCGCTAAAGTTCAGTGCCATCCATTACAATGATGCATCCACCCGCCTATACGACTACTTACCTCGTTACATGACTTCTTTACGTCAGGTCATGTGACTTAATCCCGGGTCAAGACTCGGTACACTTGTACGTAATGCAAGATGAGTACTAGTGGTCGGCCGTGGGTATTCAATAAAGGGTGGGGGGGGGGGGGGTCTTTGGGGTAAGGCTAGGGCACCGTGTGTAGTCGGTGTTGCAATTTGGAACAGTCGATTTAATTCAACACGAATTGATCGGATGTTGCTATGTATTAAGTGTCACTTTGTCGGTGCTTTACGGGTTTGAAGATTGAAAAAATATTTCAATTCGAGATATATATATATATATATATATATATATATATATATATATATATATATATATATATATATATATATATATATATATATATATATATATATATATATATATATATATATATATATATATGTATATATATATATATATATATATATATATATATATATATATATATATATATATATATATATATATATATATATATATATATATATATATATATATATATATATATATATATACATATATATATATTGAGAGTATCGTACCCCACCCACACTTTACAACTGCTATGTATACAGCCATGGTTATATTTTCTCAAACAACAACTAACCTGACTCCTGTCTAACACAGAACTAGTGTCGGTGACAAAATGGTGTAGAAAATCATAATGTAGTCAGGACAGAGGATAAAGGAACATCGACAAAAAAGCGTTTTCCGAAATACACTGTTGGAAGAGCGTAGTCTAGAAATTTACTCAAAGACGGTTTGTAAGAAGGATGGGATGCAGATATCTACACACAATAACTGCAACACCTTATTTTTATTAATGTTTTTTTAGCGTAATAAAATCATTACAGCCGTGAGCGACCCCCCCCTCCCACCCCTTTCAATCATAGCAAGGGGTGGAGGAACTTATGCTAAGACCAGTATAGATGGTCGATGGCTAATACCCAGAGGGAGTCATGGGGGCTCTCCTGCTACTAGCCGAGATGGTCGGCAGACGATATACACTCAAGTAACGCCTCCCCGGGGGGCAGTTCCTCACACAGCGTCCGATAAACGTCACACTCTTCTACCGGAAGTCGTCCAGCGCATACGTCAAGAAATAAATTTGACAAGTGGACAATTCGCGCGCCATAAATCTAGACTAAGGGACGTAATCGCGGCTAAGGGAAGTAATCGAGAGACACGGGCGCACGTTTATGGCAGAGTTACTGTCCTCTATGGG